CCCCCCCAACACACACACACACACACAACTCTCTCTCCCTCCTCTCCCTTCTCCCTCTCCCACTCCCTCCCTCCCTCCCTCCCTCTTCTCTCTTGCGGAGAAGGGGGTCTTAATTTTTTTTTAAATACTTATCCGAAATGTTTATAATTACATTTTGGCTTCTATAACTTTTAAGCTACTGCCTTTACCTCCTCATGTCAGTCACTTCCCAACTTCTGATAACAAGAGAGGTCAAACATAAGTTTGAGAGTGGAAATAGAAAGAAAATGGTATTTCTTGATCGCAAATAAGATTGGAGAGAAGAGAAGAGACTGATAATAGGGAAAGAGATGAATTTCAATTCCAATAATAATGTTCACTTTTCATGCGCTCGCATGCGCCATTCTCTTTGCTCTCATGGCTCAAAATTGTGACCAAGGGCACCTTTGCTTCTCACAACTTCATAGCATAAAGTTGCCATGCTACGTGCTCTTTAGGACACATGTGACCTTCTAAGAAGGAAAGATGGTTATTGCCCATATGTGTTCATTTAAAACTCAAAATCTTTTTGTCCTCTCTTCCCAAAAAGTAAACTACTTCCATAACAACTACTACTTCCTGTCAACTTCTAACAGCCGAATTTCCTTATTGGTCTCCTTGTCACTTAAATAATAAAAGGTTCTAACTTCCTCATGGGCCAGGTCAATTACACATGCATAGTTAACTTTTTATTGCTTGATGATATCTTTTTAAGTGCAAAGAGATATATCTACATCATCAGTGCCTAAGGTCATCATGCTCAGCGGAGTTAATATTTTAGCAAAACAACAGAACTATACCACAAAGCCACTTTTACATTGAAGATTTCACTGAATTTCTAGAGCATCACATTTGATATAAACAATGGGTGTAGAGACAGAGAAAAGGAGAATAAAAATGCATATGCAAATAGGGTTGAGGAGTTACTTTGCTTCTTCTAGGGCCCTCTGTATTGCAGACTCTATCAAATTACCAGAAGCAGCATATTCTTTAGGAATAGGCACAGCAATCAGCATTCCACTACCGAGATTTAATGTCAGGTTTGCATCTGCAGTAGACAGCATATGGACTACTTAATTCAAATAATATCAGTAAATTATTAATAGATAAAGCAGCAAACTATAGTTCATCAATTTCACTTACGCATGAGCCTAGCACATTCCTCTGGAGTATCCAGACGACAAGGAACCTGCATATTATATAATTAATGTGTGCTCAAAGCCAAACCACAAGATTTATCCTATCCATGCATGATATTTTTTATTTATTTATTTATTTATTTTTGAAGCCGCCAGTTTACAATATTACCCTGGCACATATGGTTGGTTTCTACGCATAGAAAAGTAGAGAACAGTGAGAAAGAAGCCTCGTTTGGACACCAGTGACCATGCAAGTATCAGTAGCAGTGGATACAGTATACATCCGCATACTGTATAGGATCAAAACATTCAGCATGCAACAGCATGAACTGATAAACAGTAAAAAATTACAGTGGTCCACAAGCAAACAGTAGAGGATGCTACAAAAAAAGTTACCACTTCTCTGGATTTATTTTAATTGTTCTCTATGGAAGATTTACATTTCCTTTTTAATTAATATAGGGAGGATAATCCACATTGTCTAAGATAAGAAACCTAAGTTGAATGGAAATGGGTAGGAGTACCAGTACAGGTGTGGCTACGGGTTTGAGACACGGCAAAATTGTAAAATGTAGGGTACAAGGACATGACTACATATACACTGAAATAATTAACTTACATGAGATCACTATTATTTTTCAATTCATGATTTAGGATTACAATTCTGATAACAATTTTAAGTTTCTTCCATTATGTTAATTATAAATTGTAAACTACTACTCATTTTTCAATTGGACACCCAAACAACCCTTTAAAACCAAAGTTTTTAAACTTGGTATGGTGAAACGAACTCGAAACATGTCTAACAAGTTTCAATAAATGGATGTGACATGTAGAATATACGTTCAAGAAGTGTTTGACAATTGTTTTAAATTAAAGCATGCGTCATGTAATTAAGTACATGTCTAAATAAATATATGCATATATCCAAGGAGTGTTCATGAAGTTTGGGTATGGGTACGTGTACGGTATAGGTATGGGTACGGGTCTAGTATGGGTATGGCTTCATGATAGAAGTACCCAGGTAACATAAGAAGAAACTCATCCATTCTATTGGTTGCATGGTTCCACCCTCTAATTTTCTCTCCCTCATCATAAGAAAACTCTCCATCAAATGTGCAAGTCTCTCCTCTCAAATGTCCTTTCACTATGAGAACAAAATTTCCTTTGTTACACAACCAAATTTAATTTAGCATCTTATCTAAGACCAAATGTACATGATGCATAAAGTTAATGGAAATAACCTAGAAAATTCTAGATGTCAACAATATTAGTACTTTCCCCATATTGTTCTACATAGAAAGAAAAGAAAATTAGATAAATTGGTACGTGTTCCTAGAGATAAAAGTGCTCCAAGTTATGGACATTGCTAAAAAAAAGAGCTTCCAAAGGCCCTCTCCCTGATTTAATTTTTTTGGGGGGGTGGGGGGAGTTATTGTATGGTGGTATATGTGTTTGTATGTGTGTACATGTGGATGCAATGTACATATGGATGCATATATGTATGTGCATGAGTTCGTAGGTATCAGTGTGCTTGTGTGGATAGATAAATAGACCGAGTCTGTTCCCAAAATTACTGAAGTGCTAAGATCTTCTTTTGTCAAATATTTCAATAATTTTATCAACAGGATTACCACCTTGCATCCACTAGATTCAGTGAAAAATGCAGGAAATTCACTCGTCTTGTAAGCAGCTACTGTCACTCCTTGAGTTTCCTGCAATTATAATTAGATTTTTCAAATTAGCTTTTCTTATGCTTAATTACTGCACATGTACAATGGAGAAATCCTCTACTTTTCTCATCATAAGACTCATAACATAATTTCCAATAAGCAATTTTAAGTATATCAGCAATAATATATCATAAATGAGCAAAACATAAGAATGGTTGGGGATGAGTAGGTTCGAACCGTGGGACAAACTAGCCTAGCCCAATCTGGGTCAAAACCCGACCCAACCCATTCTGGGTCAAGCCTAACCTGGCTCACATTGAAGGCAGCTCATGAGCCAAGCCGGGTTTTGATCCAGACCCAGGACCAAAGAAGCAAGCCCGACCCACTACAGGTCCGGCCCACCAGTGGCCCGGTCCAAGCCCAAGTTAACTATGAATGTTTATTTTCATTTTTAACAAAACTAAAAATATTTTTTTAAATCCTAAAAGCCCACTAACCCAGTCTAGTGACTAACACAACAATGTCTGAATCACGTATATCTGTGTTTGCGATGTTTTTCAACGTAATGTTTATCTTGGTGCAGTTTACACACATAAGGATTGACGGTTATCAGGTGGAGCCTAGTATGACAAAATGAGCTACCAAAAGATAGAGGAGATGAGGTCCACACATTTTAATGTGACAAGTTGGATGGCCTCACCACTACCCTATCTCTTCGTACCTTATTTTGCTATATGAGCCGCCACCTCATACCCATTAATTCCATATATATACACACACACATATTTCATTTTAAATAAAGAGTTTGAAATAGGAACAAATAAATTAAATATAATTTTATAAATATAAACACAAGTTTAATATAGCTCAAAAGGAAAAAATAGAAAAAAACCATGGGTCAACCAATGACCCATGGGTCGTAGGCCGGTTCGGGCCCACCCCTAGGTGAGTCACTAGCTTGGTTGGGTCTTGACCTAGGATTAGAGAAATAGGCACGGCTCACTCTAACATGTGAGGGCTCGGGTCAAACTTGGCCTAGTCTTGAACCTGCAGGCCACGTCCATGCTTTTTACATAACTCACTCATAAATCTACAAGAGTAAAACATAACTCACATGTTCATATGTTAAAGTAATGTATTTGAATGTGCAAACCTTTTTCAGTGAATATATTCCATATGAATTCGCAAAGTGAAACTTCACATTTTATATGTATGTGTTTGCAGAGAAATTGAATATCATCTTCTTAAAAGACAATCAATTGAGGGTATATAAAAAAATAAGGTTCAACAGAGAATGTGGATAGTACATTCTGCTATTGTTCCCTAATATGTCAGGTAACATTCAGAGTCAGATAGCAAATATCAAGGAATTTCACAAATTGGGTGTTCAAGAAATGAAACATCACACAATCTTTGAACTTGCTAGCCTTCTAGTTCTACTTTCGCAGACAGACCTCCTGCGTGAATTATTTTGCTATTTTACCAGCTTTCTGTTTTTTTATAATAGACCCCATGAAGGTAAAAGAATAAAAGATTCAGGAGGGTTGATCTGCAAAAATAAAATTAGAGGATAATAAGTTAAATACAGCAATACCACAAGAGGTCTACCTGCTATTAACCCTATAATGATATCCAAGCTTTATCCTTTTAAAAAGAGTTGCATATTCAATAAATCTCTATAGGATTTAACATTTACATCTATCTGTTAGCCTAAGACCAACCCTTTGTGAGTAGGTATCGCAGACAGACCTCCTGCGTGAATTATTTTGCTATTTTACCAGCTTTCTGTTTTTTTATAATAGACCCCATGAAGGTAAAAGAATAAAAAATTCAGGATGGTTGATCTGCAAAAATAAAACTAGAGGATAATAAGTTAAATACAGCAATACCACAAGAGGCCTACCTGCTATTAACCCTATAATGATATCCAAGCTTTATCCTTCTAAAAAGAGTTGCATATTCAATAAAGCTCTATAGGATTTAACATTTACATCTATCTGTTAGCCTGAGACCAACCCTTTGTGAGTAGGTATCAAGTTCTTAGCAGAAGGAAACATATGCTGGCAAGCAAGGCCCTGTCATGACTTAATACCAGTACTGATTGGATATCGTGTAGTCCACTTAGTAAGGTATGGCGATGAAGAAGGTGGAAGGAAAAGATAGGGATGTCATTTATGAAAAATATACATCACTATCTTGGTAAGGATGAGTCCACTGCAATTGTACAAGGTCAGAGTTATCTGATGTCGGTATACTCTCGCCGGGAAGAACGCACACAAGGGCAGAGTTATTTGATGTAGCTATACTCTCGCCGGGAAGGACGCACACAAGGGAGATGTTGGCGGTATGCTTTTTATTCTGCCACCATTAATTAAGCCTTATTGAGGGAGATGGGAAAGTAGAGAAATAAAAAAACAAGTTGTTAAAGAATTGAACTTTGTTCATCTTGGTGATGCGTTTAGAATTCAACTAGAAAGAATTTACAATCTCCATCATCATGAAGGATCTGTCTTTGGTGTCAGAAAATCTACATTATTAAGATCCAAGAAAATTTGTATTATATTAATTTCTTATTATTCATTATTACATACGCACATATATACATACATATGTATGTATGCTTTCTAGATTTAACCTTATTTGTGGCTGTTAGAAGTTGTCCCAGAATAAATGCTAAAAAGGAGAACCTCAGGATGTTATTGTTGATTCTATAAGCTTCCACACAAAAATTTATTTCTGAGTATGAAGAAGGTACGCTTATAATCTTTACTCACCATAGAAAATGTAGTTATGATTACAAGTCCTCCTTTATCCCAAACTTTTGGGGTTGGCTATATGAATTCTATTGTTTCTAGCTTGGGGTGGAAAACAATTGCATCATAACAAATATCAAAATACTCGAATTTGAATCCAGGTGAATTTCGACTATTCGGATTAAAATTCTGGTTGAATACCTCAATGGTGTTCATATTCGATTCAGATAGATTATCGCTTCTTCAATAATAGTTTGTGAATGTTCGTTAGCCCACATGGCTAGGTGCTTTGATTTTAAACCGCCGGTCCGTAGTTCGGGCTCAATGTAGGCACAATGATTGCTTTTTAATTTATTTGAGATTTTTGCATATACACTCCCCAGATTGTATATATTTGTAAATATATCCTTCCAAAGCATCATAATTGTTGATTTTCCCTCTAAATCGCTACTTTCATTCAAGTTTACAACTCAATTTAAGCTAATTAATTTCTTTAAAAATGTCGAATCAACCATTAAATAAATATATACCGTAAAGGATATTTGATAAACAAACAAATCAAATACACATTTGGTGAGATTCTATTCGTTTATGAACCGAATGTTATAAATTATTCATTTACTATTAAATTAACTATCAAATAAAAAATAGCCGAACGGCTGAACCAATAATAACCAAACTATTTGTTAATTATTTAGTTTGCTTCCACCTCTACTCTAGACCACTGGACCCCATTAAACTAAAATATTATTGCTTCTCCTCGCTAGCACAATTAAGAGTTTTCTGTTGTACATGATCAAACCATGTCAATCAGTTCTCTCTCATTTTATCCTCAATAGGAGTAACCTCTAGTCTTCTTCAAATGCAGTCATTTCTTATTATATCTTTCATCATGTACCTCATTATCATCACAATATTCTCGTTTCTGCTACCCTCATTTTTGCACATGCTTTTTAATTTCCTAACATTTCGATTCTATTGCAAATTTGAAATGCAAGAATAAATGAACAACTATAAATAAACCATTTACATAGTTTATTACTATAATATTCTCATTCTTTATGCTTACATTATGCGTCCATCTATATCAATACGTGTGAATTACTATTTTCCATCTAACACAACATGAAGGCTGACTGAAGTTTTTCCTGTTGAATAATGCTAAATTGCTAATAAACAAAATGGAAGAACTGTCAATTGTTTCTGCTGATTGCATTAAGAAACTAGTTCTAGGGTATAAAGGAACTATCCTAGGTGTGTAATCTTTATGTGAAATAATATAGTTGAGGTTTTATTGCAAACTGAAAATTGCAAAAAAAGAGGGGATTTTGGCATTTGAAGTGGTTGTTCTAGGTAAGCAATTTCTGTATCCTTTTATTATTTATCCTATTGTTACCTTTTACTTCTTTAAATTTTATTACTTGTGATATTTTACCTAGTCTGCACTGATGACCTTGCGTACTCAACCACAAGTCTCAACTTAGTTGACAAGATATGCTGTAACATAAAAGCACATAAGATACAGTAAAATGCAGGCTTAGGATAACAGATTGAGTACCACGGTTAACATCTGTATGTTCTGTTCCTTACGGTTATCAAGAGAAGAGGAATTACCAAAAACTCTAAAGTTCTTGGAATGTCTAATATTGATTTCACGCCAGCTGAGATAACTGCTACTGGAGTCCTTCCCAGTTCAGTAAGATCAGAAGAAATATCCATTGCTGCAAGGAGAACTTAATAATATTAGATCAAAATTCACACTATAATCCTCCAGATAAATTTCCATTTCAGAAGTATTTCATAAATACCCAAAGATAAGAACTAAAGATAGTTTCAAAATAGTCCAAAATTGTCACAATATACATTAAGAAGGAAACCATACTGTCAGAGAACCTATGTTGCACGGATATGGGTGTGGATGCAGACACAGACACAGGTGTGAATACGGGACACGACAAAATTCCAAAAAGATAGGATACTGGGACATGATTTTATAAAATCTATAAGAGATCAATATTATTTTTCATTCACATGTTATGAGAACTAAAATCCTTATACCATTTTTATGTTTCTTTTATTGAGTAGATTATAAATTGAAAAACCACGTGCAACCCTTTAAAATCATACTTTTGAACTAGGCATGTGCTAAAATAAACTTGTCCTGAGTCTAACAAGTTGCATAATTTTGAGGTTAAGTGTCTGATAATACGTTCAAGAAGTGTATCACAAGTTTTTTTAAAAACTAAAACATGCGTCATGTATTGAGTACACATCTAAAAATAAATGTCCATATGTATATTCAAGAAGTGTCCAAGGAATGTCGGACACGGATAGTGTTGGACACGTATACGGCATCGTAGATGAAGTGTCCGGGTAACCTAAGGGGCCTTTTGGTTGGTTTCCTAAAAACCAAGAAAAGGAAATCGGTACAAGGAAATCAATAAAATAATATTTTTATTCATTTCCATCCCTAAAACTCATCCACAACATCCAATAAATTAATATTTTTATCCTCCAACTCATCTCATTTCATCTCATTTCTTAACTTTAAAAATAAACCAAACACAAGAAATGTGTCACATCATCCAACTCATCACATCTCATCTTATCTTATTTTTTAAAATCACACATATCATCCAATAATATTGTGACAACTCATCTCATCTCATTAAACCTTCATTTCCATCTATTTCCTCAAAAAAAAACAAGAAATTAATTTCCTTAAGTATGTGTCAAATCATCCAATAATATACCTCCAACTCATCTCATCTCATATATTTTCTTATTTTTAAAAATGAACCAAACACAAACAACCTCAAAACATCATCCAATAATATAACTCCAATTCATTTCCTTATTTTTTTAACCAACCAAACAACCTCAAAACAAGTTTTTTTAAAAAATCACTCACCAACCAAACAACCTCAAAACAAGTTTTTTTAAAAAATCACTCACATCATCCAATAATAAGGTGACAACTCATCTCATCTCATCTCCTATTCTATAGTTTTCTTCTTTTTTAAGCCAACCAAACAATTATTATAAGAAATAGGTTTCCTATTCTTTGATTTCCCAATTTTTTTTGCGAAACGAACAGCCCCTAACAGAGAACATAAGCAAGAACCAAGAAGCAGTGTAGTGTTGGAACAAGTATATGAACACTCGGGTTAAGTCCTCTTTATGCTTTCTGGCATTGTGATTTGTGACACACACTATAGAACTTGTAATGATCAGTCGCATGGGATTTTCTTGTAATAGACTGAGTGACTGACATCTAGTTTCTGACATAAACCCTCCAACATGCTTCAGAATAAGGCCCATCATTAGATATCACACTGAGAGCCCGAGACACTAGAGTTTAAAAAGATGTCAACTTCTGATGTAGTTCTTACTTTGTTCACCATGTCTGTGCACCCCCCCAATCCCACCAGTAACAAATACTGGTATGCCAACCTGCAGTCAATGTATGAATTGGGTAAGTACAAACAAATAAAACCCATGCACAACCACATATGAATTGACATAGATAACCAACCCAGAGGCGGATTTAGCTAATAACTGGGGATGCAGTTGCACCCCAAGGTATGTCAAAATTCCTCCCTAGCACCTTATTAAATTACAATTCACCCCCATATTTTAAAAATATTTGCATCCCGACAGATGAGGAGGGCACAATTGAAGGATTTTTTTTTTGTACTGGAAAATGATATTATTTTATGTTTAGGTAAATAGATACTTTTCATCTGCTCCTCCAAGAGATTTTTTTTTCCTATATCCGCCACTGAGCCAACTGTGGTTGGCCTATGCATTGTATAAGCAGCAACAACCACAAATGACATGGTATATGTTATTATCTTTGATTAACTTTCTCATATACATTGTATAGGATGAATGAACCAAGGATGAGCATTTGTCTATCCGTGGTTGGCTTATGTTCTAAGACACGACAAAATTCCCAGCCAACTCATGTTATGGAAAAGAGAGGGTTTCGCCACAGATCATAAGGAAGAAGCTGACAACAACATACTAAAAAAGACATGCATGTTTTTATTGTGCAGTTTAAAGTGATAGAACTACAGTGTAAAGCAAGATGCAAAAAAGTTACGCACACATTTCATTACCTTAGAGGCAAAAAACATGCTTGCAGAAACTGTTGTTGCACCATTTCCACCAGTTGCAACCTGCCAGTCCATATAAGCAGTCAATAACTTAGTTCATAACTGAATAATCATAAAATTTGATATGAATTATTTTAAGTCTCAGACTGAAATATTGCAATGCAAAAGCTGTTTTGCTGCATTAGCAATTGATTGTCACTGAATAAAATAGCAAATCCTGCAATTTCTAAATATCTACATTCAAATTGATTTGAACTAATGTATATGAGAATACTCGTCATCTTCTTTCTGTGGACGGACCTAAGACTATTTACTCCTCAAAGCTAATTTCAGAAGGTAGAGAATGGGAGTTCAATGCATCACAGGTGCAATGTGAATATAGAAAAAGTTTACTCAACAAAAGAATTATCAGAGAGAAGGAACAGGAGATAATGTCACCCACAACATGTGGAATATCCCTGCGAGCCGTCTTCTGAGCTTTGCTTCCAAGCTTCGCAAGCCTCTCAAGTTGAGTGTCACTCAAGCCTGATAATGTATTGAAAGAGCACAGAAGCAATACAGAAAATTATATAGGGCATACAAATAAGTATAAAAAGGGTTGTTATACACACACACACATACATACATACATAAATACATGCATACATAATCTTGACTTGACATCATGTTGGGAACCAAAGAGAGGAACCCAACTCCAAGATCAATGTGAGAGTAGGATAAATGAAAATACAGAATAAACAACACAAAATCAGCACAATGGAACACAAAAATAATGCGCTTCAGCTGTAACCCATGCCAACATCCACAAGCATGAAGGATGATGTTTCCATCATATAAACAAGAAGAAAAATATGAATAACTTTCAAAGCTTCAACAAAGCTTGAAGATCCAACAAACAGATGAATTTAAAAAAAAGTACAATGATTTACCTCACTATTCCAGACCACAACCACTTGAAGCACCTTCCAACCAAGGGTAGAAGGATTCCATAGTGTAGGGATCTCTAATAAGATGGTATGGCATGAAAAAGTCAACAAATATGAGCTACTCTATGAACCCCAGATGCTTACCACTTTCTCCTCTTTCTTCTTCTCCTTAATCAACATTTGGATGAGATTAAGTTGCAGGAGTTACGGGTATGCCTATGGGTGCGGGTACAGGACAACAAATTTGTAAAAGATAGGGTATAGGGACACGACTCAAACTCATGGAATATAATCATAGTTCTAAGATATACATGTAAACGACCCTTTTAAATCGTAGTTCTTAAGGTTGACATGAACTCGACCCTTGCACAATAAATTAATGTAGGATATATATCCAAAAAGTGTATGCCAAATGTTTTAAATTAAACATGTATTGTATAATTGAGTACTAGTCTGAATAGATATATGCATATATTAAGGAGTGTCCAAGAAGTATAAGGTATGGGTACGGGTACTGTTATGGCACGTGTTGTGTATGGGTACAACACGTGTCGGGTACGGGTACAACACACATTGGGTACAGGCAAGGTTTTAAATATCGGTTATCGGGGATTTATCGGACGGCTAAAATCCTTATCGGATAGCGAAAATCGGGGATATATCGGGGATAAGTAGTATTTATCGGAGTGATATACTGGATGATGTGTATATATAATATAACAATTAAAAAATATAATCTAATCATGCTTAATGAAATATAAACATGCCAAAATATAAATCATCATGTTTAGAATCACTAACAAATTGTAGAAAGCGAAACTTGCATCATAGCCTTGAAAAAATATAATGTTAGTCAAAATGGGCCGATAATCCCGATAAAAAAGTCTTACTTATCGGCCGATAAGTGCCGATAAATCGCCGATAAACCTAAAAAACGATAACCGATTAAAAATCCAATTTATCCTAGCGGAGAGCTCCCAAATCCGATAACTCGGCCGATAATATCAATTATCGGCCGATATTTAAAACAGTGGGTACAGGTACGACTCCATCGTAGAAGTACCAAGGTAACATAGGATGAAAATATTGTAACGATGAATTCACCCCTTTCATTTCCGACTAAAATCTTGATAGGTCTTAGTCCCAACCACAAGCGGGTTGAACCAACTTGACCCAATCTGTCATACTCACATACATTGACCAACTGAATTCAAGAGACTGAATGAATGCTAGTTCACTTATGGCTATAAACCAAAACACAGCTCATCAGACTCCTAAATCTTAATGCTTTGAAATTATATGCCCAAATAGTTTATCTGAAATTAGACTATTTACTATTTAAATAGAACTCTTAAGTTGTTCTAGTTGCAAATATTAATATTTAAGTGCTACTATAAAAATAGGACGTAAGACGAGGTTTTATAAGACAAGATTGTATACCAAAAGACCTATAAACATGATTGAAATTCAATAAATTAACTTGCTGCCCCACATCAGTCAGAATATGTATCATATCAAGAAATCAAATAATCATAACCACCAAATCTAATCTCATTCCAGCAGGCGTGAATTAGAATAGAATGACAACTTGGAACACAAGCACATAAGCTGGTGAATACTATATCCAAGTTACTGCACAAGATAATCTGAAAAGCAAACTCCATATGCTTGGCTGCAGACGCAAGTAAAAAAATGCAGGCTTCATGCAAACCTCAGGTTTTTAATCTTGTTCCATGAAGAAGATCAGACCAAAGACATTTCAACATCATCACAGAGCAATATTTAATGTACGCTACTGTAAACCATTAAAGTATTACAAGTCACTATATATGTTGATGTTAGGACAGATCCTTGAAGAAATGCTTGACGATATGACTCAGGACTAATAAACACACGTTAAGGAATATTGAGAAAAGGATATCCATCAACGTATTTCAAACATGCATGCAGAACACAGAAGAATCATTACTCACAGAAAAGTCTATTGACCAAGAGTTAAGCATATTGCTGGCCTTCAATGACTAAAACAACTGTTAAAGGGCATTGCATCACCGGACAAAATATACAGGGACTAAATGTCTAGCAACCTATTATCTATTAGACTATAATACTATTATAAAAGTGGATTGGTATGTTAAAATATTTCTCCCCAAAGTACACTCCAAAACACATGCATACATTAATAGAACACATACATAAATCCTCCAAAACACATGATACATATACATAATAAAACACACATATACATGAACATACATGCATACTTAATTGAGAACAATTATTATTTTTTATAATTATATTAATAATTTCTTAATTAAATTCCTTTATGGTCCGCATTCAATATCTTAAATGACCTCTTCCATCCACTCTCTCCACTATTTCAGAAGTCCTTTCAATTCCTACTATTATTGTTACTTTTATACATGAAAGTCATTAATAAAGCACGAGTAACAATTCCAAAAAATAGTTTGTCATGTAATTTATTCTAAAGTTTGATTTTTGTATTTAACCTTGAGAGCTTATGTTAATCTTCTCATAATTAAAAATCTAAATATATAATGTTAATTAAAACCAATTGGGTAATAAAAAATATCAATACACATAAAAAATATCAATAAAAAATATCAATATAATATTAGGCTTTTTTTGCAATTCCTATAGTTATCGGTGGTCATGCACTTGGCAATAAAAAGAATATTAAAGAGACGTTTTTATTAACTTCAATTTCCAATAAATGTCCATTTAGTAATCTTTTAATAACGTCAATTTCAAAGGAATATCGGTAATCTTTTAATAACGTCCACTTCAAAGGAATATCGAAGAGACATTTGTACTCAACTTACTTTTCTCATAAATGTCCATCAGTAATCTTCTCATAACGCCCCTTTTATTTATAAACATTCATTTGTAAATGAGAAAGTTCCAAATTTAGAGTACATCAAACGAAAGTACTAAAGAAAATATTGGCTTGAAGCCTAAAATCTTTATCAAATAGTAGGTTGGAGGCCATTCATATAGTTCGGATGTTATCAGTTCACAGCTCTCAGCATAATCTAATTCTAATAGTATTATCACTGGGTATGTCTTCTATTTTGGTCTGTGGTAAGAGAATGTTAAGTACATTTTTAGCATACTATTTGATTTAACTCTAACCCTTGATCACAGTTATCGAGTTAATGTTACTGTGGGGAAGTGGGCTAAATGTATAATTCTTCCAAGGTGAGACACTAGAGTGCTATGAGCTTATGTTTTTTCTTTTTTTAAGATTTATGTTACTACTTTTTAAGCTCTTCCAATATCAATGAGCTTTTAGATTTATGAATTTTTATTGACGAATGATGATTTTGATACTTCAATAATTTCACGACAATACATGATATTAGGTGACTAAGTAATATTTCTTTGTAGGGAAGAAGGGCTGAAATTGCAATTTTTTCAGGGGGAGAGTTCTATGAGCTTCTTCTTATTTGATCCTTTTTTCAGTATACAAAATATGATGAACCTAGACTACAAGACTTCTAAACTTCTAAACTCTCATCAATTTTATGAGATGTTGTAATGAAAGATATCCGCGTTCTTCCTATTCCTCCTTTATTTATTTCATTTGTTTAATTCTAAAATGTCTATACGTGGAGTGTAATTGTGAAGGAATTAGCAACCAATGCATTTATGTCAATATTTTTAGTTCGAGAATAGAATACTTCATCCCACTGGTTGAGAAATTGCATTGGTAGATATCTCGCTAATTATTTGGAAGAGAGTTCATTTGAACAGTTGTAATGAATAAACGTCTAAAATAGAGTTCATTTTTATTCTTGATCTTCTATATGTGTAAATATTAAGGTAACTTTTTTAAAAAAGTATAAATTATATTTTACTTTTACCATATATATTCACAAAATTCTATCTTTTTGGTTTTGAACAAATTAGTAATGTCAAATTGATGTTATTTTGGCCATATAAAATGAAATTTTATTATGAAAATTTTAAAAAATAAATAAATATGTCCACGTGCAAGGCACGTGCACTATACTAGTATATTCAAAAGAGCTTTGAATGCAATGTCACATCTTCTAGATCTGTTAATTGCAACACTTCCAAAGTTACCCCTCCAAAGATATAGATTCAGTTATACTTCTACCATTTTAATTACATTATGAGTTTCAGTCTCCAATTAAACAAGTAAACAACTATATTCAATGAAAGTTCATGAAGAGTTTTTAAATATTTATAAAAAGATCAATGGTTTAGATTCCTAATTCTAAAGTTCTACGTCATATTTTAGAGACATTCATTTCGTAACTTGTAAATCGACGAGTTAAAAAAAACTATCAATCATACTTTTTTGCTTTTAGATTATTATATTGTAGGCAATTCAACTACCACACATCTTCTAGGTGAAACATCATGTCTAAATAGGTGATTTTAAATCTCAACAATCCATCATACACTTTTTGCTTTGAGCGAAATGTGGCAAAAGGAAGGAAACTTCATGGACCGACCCTATCGTTTCCACCCTGTAGGAACTACAAGATAGCCCAAGGATGCCTTCGACATCCAGGGGTCACAGACCGACCACAGACCGTGTTCAATAAGTGGAACGCATTAGCTATTCACTCTCTGATTAATAGGAACCAAAGTCAAATCCTAACACTAAATAGTAGAACGCTAATCAAAATTCAGCCCAACCTTATAATGATACATGTAGCGCTCTTGCGTCTACAAGAAACCGGCATGTTCTGATGATGTTACACAAAGAGTATTATTTTGTGTCTTGAAGAGTGTAAAGGGTAAGACGGAAAAAGTAATAGTTATGACCATGAAAAGAAACTACTGGGGCCTTAGCCAAAAGGTCAATGGTCGATCCGTGTCTATGGCAATGCCTATCCCTAATTTCTAATTTTTAGGCATCGCAACACTTGTGCTATTCACATGCGTCTCGACTAAGAAGAAACAACTTTTTTTAGTTCTATGAAAAGCGCAAAATTGAAGTATGTTTCATGGGAGGACTAACACAAAGAACATTGGGCGGAAGGGCGTACCAACGCACGCAACCCCATCCAAAATGGCGATTGTGGCCGGAATAGCCCCGTTCTCTCTCACAATAGCCTCAACCTCTTTCGCGGTTCGGAGATTCTGGGGAAAGGGCATGCCTTCAAGAAATAACGTCAGTCTTGGTTCAAGAATAATAGGAACAAACACTTTATGCAGCTTTACACACCATGAGAAATTATGGTAGACTCGAGCGCGACAATGGCTTTGCCATGTAAGAGCCCTTCTTCAACGTCTTGTGCGATCTTCAGATTCCCAGCCTAAATTCATGAATTTTTTTTAATTTTTCGCACTAGATTATATAAATGGAAGAAGTCGAAACCGCGATCGCAAACTTCTTCAAGAAATGACAGCTCAACTGCTTACTTTCTCTCCTAATTTCGAAAAAAAGGGGGAGGGAGGCCGTCCTTGGTTCATGACTCCTCCGAAAGAGAGAGCGGCAGGGTCGAGATCAGCGTCGATCAGAAAAATTCGCTGCAATTGTGAACTGGTGCACCGACGCGTCCTTTCCCTGCGATCACACGGTTCTAGCAGATTTTGGATCCTGATGGATCTTCATTCGACGGCGGAGCGTTGAAGGGAGAAGGGATTTGTTATTTCTTGGGTTAATTCCAGAAAAGAAGAATTTTTTTAAACAAACCCATTCATAAATTTTTTTTCTTCAAAAAACAGATCAAAAATAGACTCATTTTGTCTTAATCCGGTTTCAAAATAGTCGGGTCGCCAACCCTAACTATATAGTGCATAGAATGTTAGGATTTAGGGTTATAATTGGGGGTTTACAACCTCCTAAATAGTCAGGATTGGCAACTCCGACTATTTAGGAACCGCATTAAGATAAATTGAGTCTATTTTTGTAAATAAAACTCAATGAGTCTATTTTAAGGAAAAAAATATGAATGAGTTTATTTAGAAAATTTCTTCTTTCAGAGAACACTCTTAAACTTTGGTTATCGCACGTAACACCTCCTAAACTTTAGGATGTCTCACATATCTCTAAACTTTAGGATGTCTCAAAAATATTCTATGTACTTGGAGCTTTTTTGACAGGAGGGCCACTTGATTGAGCTAGAGCTCGGCCAACTCCAAGCGTCATAAATGCAAACAGGGAATTGGGCCCTACGATGGATCCAAAAAAAATTTCTTAGGGGGCAGCCGACCAATATCTATTTACCTAATAATAAAATATAAATAATAGAACTATAGTAGATGACATGAATTTATCAATACGCTTTATCAGCTATATTGTATCATATTTTGCAATGATAGATAACAAACATGAGTATTTTTCACTAATGATTACTTCCACTAATGAAATCAAAGAATGTAAACTTTCTAGTTAAAATACTCTACAAAATCCTATTCTTTTTTGTGGAAATTTATGTTGGAGTGGTTAACAAGGATCGTTTTGTAAATAAGCTCTTCAAATATTATCTCGATCATTTGGATGATACTCTAAAATACTTGATCTGAAGCCCAGATCAGCTAGAAGATCTTTCAAGTTCACTCCCTTGCTTCGCTTTGTACTAGTTTGTGAATTCTCAAGGTTGTTTAGATTTGGAATAGTTTATAGTTGCTCTTGCTCCATTAGGGACTTTTCTCTCAAAATATTTATCCATAACCAAAAATAATAATGCAAGATAATCGATAAAATTTTTCGAATTTACTTTTTCCAAAAATATAAATAACAAATTCTTGCTATCTAATCACAAGGACATATACATTATTATGAGGAGATTTAGGGGTCAATTAAAACTTCATGCAAGTACAAGTCCTCTCTTCTACCATTTCGCTCTTTTTTCTAAGAATAAAAAGCTTATATTTTCCTAGTATTTTAATTAAGGTTTTGATGAGTTTCTTGGTATTTAGATCTTTACATAGGCGTTGGAGGGATTGATGGAGGCGATAAGGAGGTTCGCGTGGAGTTAAGAGGTAGTGCAGCGGCATGGACGACGGTGGGGGTGACAACCGACAGGAGAACGCCACTTTTCTAAGGGTGGAGAGAGAGAGAGAGAGAGAGAGAGAGAGAGAGAGAGAGAGAGAGAGAGAGAGCTGAGAGAGAGAGAGAGAGAGAGAGAGAGAGAGCTTTAGAAATGGTCCTTTGTGTTTAAGTGACGTGTCCTTTAGTGTTAGGGTTCTTTAAATTTTTAGAAGTATTAGATCTAAAAGGGCTGAAATACCAGTCTAAACTACACCCTTTAGCAGTTTAGTCTAAAAAGTGATGTCGGCCATAGTTTAGTCTAAAAAGTGATAAACATGATGATAAATAGGTATTTTGGTGCCAGAGATAATTCTTAGGGTGGTGTTAGTCGATTAGCACATTTTCATGCGAAGTGGGGTAATTGTTAATTTTTTGCTAGCGGGTAATTTTAGTGGAATAAATAGAAATAATTTTGTGAAGCGAGATATTTTGATAAAATAACGTGGGATAAATTTTATAACCATGAAGTATATATTTATGCATTTACTGGATATAAATATTATTTATGTATTTTAAACTTGACCCCGGCCTCAAGCCTCTCCCCCAGAGCATATGTCAACATTTCAGTCCACCTCGGACAAGCCTTATCCAAATTTTGTCCTGATGGTCTCCATGATTTGCTAGCTGCCCACATGTCTTCAGTCACGCTCTCAATCACTTCCTAAAAAATACGGAGACACCCTTGTAGCCGTCTAAAAATGCTTATAGGTATGAATATACCTATCTAAGTCAAAGAAGATCATCCAAAGTCAAAATAAGCAAAGGAACATGTGAAATAACATAGAAGAACAATATGAACACCCACGATAGGGAACACTGACGCGCATAGGCATGGCAATGGAAGGTGTTTTGCTCACAAACAGAGTAATGTGCCAATGGGAAGTTGTAGATCTCTTTGTTATCTTTCTAACGCATCTTGGATTACCTCATTCCGATATCGGACAAGGAAGTTAGAGCCAAAATACCCGAGACAGCGCAAACTACCTCGGAGGTGCGCGGCAGTGATAACTGCCACGGCAATAGCACGGAAGTACGTGGTGTCGTGAAAGTAAAAAGAGTGAAGTGCCAATGGGAAGTTGTAGATCTCTTCGTTAGCTTTCCAACGCATCTTGGATCACCTCATTCCGACATCGGACGAGGAAGTTAGAGCCAAAATACCCGAGACAGCGCGAACAGTCTCGGAGGTGCGCGACAGACGTCACTGTCTCGGCCATAGAGTTGGTTACAACACGTTTTTTGACGGTTTTTTGGCTTCATAACTACTTGAGATCAACCATAAACGTGGGGAGATGGTTACAAACTGAAAGGAGACACACTAACATCATAAAAGGATGGTATTTAGGTAGTGGGACGATGGTGACAAAACGGGGGCTGATTAGAGAGCATCCAACGACAGCTTTTGGAGATTCCTAGAGATCTAAGCTCAGACTTGATCTTTGGAAGAGTGAACATCTTACATCGATAAGATATTCACTTTAAATTCTTACTTCGATAAACGAAGGAAGAATCCCCAAAACCTTCACGATTCAACTAGAATCTGTGAATCGGTGGTCCACGGGCTAACGCACCCCCGACACAGGCAAAGATCCCACGCAAGCAGCGATTCAAACAACGATCATGCGTTTGTTTCTAAGAAGTTGTAATTTTTATTTTGTTGTGTAAAAGAAGTCCTATAAAAAAGGCTATCTCTTTTGAATTTATTGTAATCGATCGAAGATATGATGAATTCCACAACGAGACCAACTTTTGACGCAAACAAGCTGGCGACCACAGTGGGAGCCAACGGTCTCACTGCCGAGACCGTCGTGTCGCAGCCGATCAATATTCTAGTTGAATCCACGATCGAATACGAGTTTGACCAAACCAAGTTTGAAGAATATCTCTCATCATCCTCTTCAAGATCTTCATTATCTCGCAAGTACAAGAGGATCTCATCATTGAAGAAGGCTTATACGCTAAAGAAGGCTAAAAGTGAAGACTCTCGCCCAATCGTTGTTGAGGCCTTGCCTCGCAACATTATCCCGGCGACCCCCAAAGCCGGAAGCTCTGCTCATAATGATTCTACCCTAATTAAGGAGTCGTTCGATCGAAGTTCGCCAACTCTGACGAAGAGAGCTCGTCAGAGGCGACGCCAACGCCGCGCTCGTCAATTAGCTAAGGCCTTAGAACAAACCGATGAAGTTCGTTATTATGCGGACTTAGAATCGAGGAAACATTAAGTGGTTCAGTCGCCTCAACGTCAAATCACTCACATCTCAGCAAAACTTACGTCGGAGGAATGGACTCTTGTCAAAAGGGCCCGTTCGACCCTCAAAGAACGCATATAAAAGCGTATGGCAAACACCGCTCGTGCCCGTGCTCTTTTACAACAAAGACGAGAAGGAAAGAAGAAAACGGTGGCCAAAGAACCACCAAAATTCTATAAAGTTTGGATTCCGAAGTCTGGAGTTGTGCAAAATCAGCATTTGGAGCCCGTTAAGACTCCGCACCCGCAAGGGAGTGGTTCTAAACGTGTGACTCCTGACATAACCTTGGATCGCTCAAAGGCAACAATAATTTGTCCTGAGAATACCAACAGGGTTTTACACCCTCAGAAGAAGATGTGTTCGTCAAAAGACATCGTTATGCCTGGGAGGTCATACCAACAGACGATAGGATTTTCCGGCAATCATACCGATGAATCGTACTATCAAGCTGTGGGTTTGAATAAATTTCGAAAGAGAACTATTCGAGAAATAAACTCTCATTGTTCCTGTGCGCGACTCATTAAAGCAGCATTGTTGGAATATAACTACGCCAAACGAGAAGTCATCCCGCAAAGAGTCTCAGTGTTCCAGAAGCTTTTCACCGAAATGTCAATGCCCAGGCCGAGACGTTTTAGCAAGAAATTTGCTATTCAAGAGGATGAATTCCCTGAAGTCACCATCAATGTGGCTGATAAAGGAAAGTCTAAGCGGCATTCAAATGAATCAAACCTCGACTTTTCCCCGGGAGGAAAAGTCAATTTAAGAATTGCCCAACAGATGTCTCGACTCCATTCAGGAGCCATCAGACGTAGAGATTACAAGAGAATGCATGAAGAAATGTCTTCAGAGGACGAACTATCGGACACTTGTTCTGCGATCGCTTCTGATGATACAATGTCTACCACGGGACAAACCAAAGAAGTGTTCACAATCAATTCTGGTCAGTTTGCTCAAAAGCTTCAAGAAGCTCTAGCGAAACAACGTGAAGAAATTAGAGCTGAGATGAAGACAGAGATGGAGTTAGCTATCCAACAAATGAGAGAATTGCTAACTCAACGGCCTCAACCTCCTGAGTCCAGTCAGCGAGCTGAATCCAGCCGCCACACTCAGAATTTTGTAGATGACAGTGATCCAGAAGTGGATGAAGTCATTATGGCTGACACACCTCCCAATGACAATAACACTAGGGGTGGTTCAACAAATCCTCCTAATAACAATATTGGAGGTAGTTCAATTGCACCGCTTAATAACACTGGGGGTGACCTAATTATTTCTGCTCAACATCACTCAGAGAGAGATGAAGATGAGGACAAGAAAATGCAAGATCTTGAAAACAAAGTCAATGCTTTGATGTCCGCTCAGAAAGTAAAGAAGACGGGTATTCCGTGTCCCT